AATAAAATAAAATTAAATAAAGAAGCTCAAATTAAATTAAATATCTTTATTAAAGTTAAACAAAGAAAAACTTCATTTTTCGAAATTTTACGAAAAAGGATATATACATTTCCTTCCCACGGAGCCGTTTCCTATCTCTCGGGAAACCGAAAAATGATTCACGAGGAACTTATCCTAAAAATCGGCGATTGGTGAAACCCAGTAACGTGACGAAAGGGATAAAAGAGGGGTGATGACGAGAAAAGGAGGTCCGTCGTCGCTGTCCGTGAACACGGTCCATCATCACCGTTCATGATCGGGGAAACCCCGTGCCGATCCTCATCGCCGCCGTCCGTTCCTCAAGACAACTTGTCCGATCCGGTTAGAAAACGTCCGCTCGTCCGATCTCCTCCTCGTAGAGGTATGATACCCATTAATGTAAACTCTCTCTCGGCGCGTTTCCCTCCACTCCCGCGTGTCCGCTCGAGATAAGCTCAATGTAATTATGTTAGTTATGTTATCGTCTCAATAAATGTTGTTTTGTTGTTAAAAGTAGTCTTTATTTCGAGTATCGCTCACACTTTACCGACGACCCCTCTCACCTCCTTCACTCGACCTGACAAAAGAATCCCGACTTTACGGGATAGAAAAAGCATTTTCTAAGCCATCCACTGACCAGTGGGCAGTTCTCACCGAACTGTTGCCTATCAAAAAGAGGTACGACCTCGTCCTACCTCAGGCTACCCACATCTTTGTTAGTAAAAATATGAAACTATAGTCAAACATACATAGGTAAGAACACTATGTTTCCACATAGAAGAACTAAATTTGTCCAAGGACTTGTTCCACTGGGTGATCAATGCATCTATTTCATCAGACTCTCCAGCCATGCAATGTCAGCCTGTTGCATGCTCTTTGCAATCAATGTCCACAGAGATGTTTATTCATAGTCCCAAAGAGATGGAAGTTGCTGGGTGCAAGGTGGTCTAGGCTATAGGGTATTCTAAAACCTCCCAGTACACATTGTCAATGTGAGAACAGATGCATTGGGCAGTGTGCAGTCTTGTATTGTCATGCAAGAGAATAACACCCTCTCAGTGACCCCAGCTGTAGTTTCACATTTCTACTAACTCAGGTGTGTTTAGAAATATACTTGTTAGATATTTATTTATTGATTTTCTCTTATATTATTAATTTAGACTTCAATGTATTGACATTACAGTCGACCCCCCGTAACACTGTTGATAATTCCGTTTTATATGAATTCCATGTTGTACAAGTCACTTAGATTTTACAAATACGTGAGCTGTTCACAACCGACACACGTATTTGTAAAATCTAAGTGACTCGTACAACATGGAATTCATATAAAATGGAATTATCAGCAGTGTTATAGGGGGGTCGACTGTAATGTATTATTCAAGACTTTCCTCACTATTAATTAAAACAGTATAATACAATTTAGTATCAATGCATGCAAGTTAAAAAAATAAGACTTATGAGTTAGTCTGTATATGATGCACAAAGACGTCATTGATGTCTTTGTGCATCATATACAGACTAACATTTTTTAATTTAAAACACAGACTAACATTTTAATATACAGACTAACATTTTTTAATTTAAAAAAAATCACTGGAGTAAACTTGTTTGTTGTGGGTAAATTTGAATTTTTTAAAATGTCATGCAAAAATTTTTTCAATATAAAAACTATCAAATACTGTAATGCAGAATTTGAGAAATTTGAAAAGATACAAATGCTTGAAACAAGTTTAGTAAATTTTAAAAAATATCAATAGCAGTATTTAATTTGTAAACTGTTTAATAAAAATATTAAAATGGAACAAATATAACAACGAGTAAAAGTTTCTTCTAATAGTGAGACTAGTGATCTTTCTTAATTATCTGCAATAAACAGAGACCAAGATTAAAACAATTCACTTTATTCGTCTATTTAACAACGCATTTCTAGAACAACCTTGAACACTGGAGTCTGAAGAGGGATTGGATGACACCAATCTGAAATACATTGTTAAATAGATCAATAAAGATCACTAGTCTCACTATTTGAAGAAAGTTTTACTCAGCGGTATTTAAATTATAAAATTACTGATGAGATGAAATGGTGTGACAGGTAGCATATATTAGGAGTTCATCTGCTTTTGAAATAGAGATCTTTAGGATTTTATTTAAATTTGAAAAAAAATTATTGTTGAAGCTGTTAAATTTTAAGTTTTATATAGGCTATATACATATATACACACAGGGTATCCCAAAAGTTACTGTGCAATGGGGAAGGTTTAAGTAAAGTTGTAATAAAAGTAAAGTTTTATGTATGTACTGTACATCCCCAGAAGACCCAAAGTCTTCCAAAAACTGTAGTCCAAAACCAGAACATCTGTGAGTAAGCAGTAATACCATCTAATGACAAGTGGAAAATGGGATATACAACTTACAGGCAAAACTTTAATTTCATTACAAATTTCTCATTGCACAGTAACTTTTTGGACATCCTGTGTTTACACACACACACCTTGAAATAAGAGCTGAAGGGCTCAAAGTACTATTGACATTATTTTAAACATGATTATATAAACTGAAATCTTTCATTTAATGCTAATTTATTATGCAATAAATTTAAATTATTATATACTAGTATAAATATTATTATTAAAAAAGGATTGTCTAAAACTTGGCACTATGTTCAAAATTCAACAAATAAACTAAAAAGTTCAGGAAACAAACAGATTTATTTGAGAAGAAAAATTTTCAAGCCCATTTGTCCATCATCAGCTCTATATTCTAGAGCTGATGCTGGACCAAATGGGTCTAAAAACTCCAAATAAATCTTTTAGTTTCCTCATCTCAGCAGTTTATTTATTATTGAACATATTACATGAAAAACTATGAAAAAGAATAGTAAAAAGAACAATAATCATCAAAATGAAACATTGTTACTATTTATTTGATCTTTTCAACTTTTTCAACAACAATGAATTAGGGAAAGAAATGTTCTCTTATTACTCAATTAATAAATATTTTAAAATACTTATTTGGAATTAACTAAGAATCCTTAATATGTACACATTAAGAGGAGGAATGAAGCCAGCTAAAAAAAAACTACTTAATCAATTTGTTAAGTTTTTCACTTGCTTTACTTTAAAATTTCAAAATTCAAATTTTATGGTCCCAATTCATCATTACTTTACTGAAAAATAAAAATTTAATTGTATAAGATATAATAAAAATAAGAGAGACAAATACAAAATGAAATTTTAGAAAACATTTTGCATAAAAATTTGTAATTCAATTATTTCATTAAAATTCATTTACTAAAACACTAAATGCAAAACAGTTTTAGGAATATAAAAACAAAGAACAAAATCATAGTTTCTCAATTAAGTTTGTAATTTTTAACTTTTCATATATTACATTAAAATGATTATACAATTCAACATCACTTTATGATTTTTATTATAGGTTTTTAGTTGTCACAGAGATTTTTATATACATTACCTTTTGTTAATTCAGTTTAAAATCTTGTTTATGAGGCCATTTCACTACAAATTCTAATCAATGTTTTAAATTACATTAAAAAATAATGACTTTTTAAATACTGTACTTGGTTTATATTAATGAAAATAACAATTCTGTATCTAACATTTAGGAACACTTGACTAGAAAAGAATTCTTTCCAATTATGAAAATTTGATTCTGTTAAATCACTTCCTTTCCAAAGTTTCAAAATTCTAACTTAATATTTAATGTTTAGTATTTAGTTCTGAATAAATCCAGAAATCATTGCAGAATATGAATAATTCCAGTCTCTTCCTGATGAATAAATCATGGAAAAATTCATCTTTTTCTTTTTTAACTCTCACTGTAATGCATAAGAAATGTCCTCTAAAACTGAATAAATAATCTAATCTACAGCACTGTGACCACCTACTTATGATAACAGACTATCATTATCAATTTTTTTTTTATAAAACGGAAAGTTCTACTTCAACACATATTGGATATTTTTGAACATATTTCCTGTGTAAATTCTGAACATTTTGCATTACCACCTAGATCAGCTGTTCGAACCTAAAAAATACATTTATCATCATTAGCATGATATATTTTTATATAAAAATTTATTTAATAATAATATTTTATATTAAAAACAAATAAACTAATGATATGAAAAGTAAATTTTTTTCACTCATCAGAAATAATAAAAACACTATATCTGACTCTTACTCTTCCAGTGTTTACACAGAACCTACATATGATGACAGAATTAACCACTCATTATTATATATACATGAATATACGATAAGAAAAAAGCTTTCAACCATGGCCTTAGCCACTTATGCAAGATGTAAGGACATGCATGTTGATCTAAAGGATGAAAGATTGCTACACAGGGTTTTCAATAGAGCACACCTTAAATACTTAGGGTCAATTGAAATCTAAGGGCATTTAAGAATGGAGTAAAAATTAATTTCAAAGAAACGGACACACTATCTTAAACTAAATACACTTATCTTAAACTAAATACCGTATTTACTCGCATATAAGACAATCTAACATATAGGACAAGGTGTGATTTTAAAGATCAAAATAAAGAAAATAAGATTTATTAATACAATTCTAATTTTATTTTGTTTAATCACAAATAAAATATCAAATGCATGTAAATGCACACATCGTCCAGCAAAAATTACTAGCATTTTAAACTTTAAGGAAAAATCTTGTAAAATCGATAACATAATTTGTTCATATAAAGCTGGATAATTGCAAACCTTTTTTGCCAAATCCACTCTCCGTTGATTACACTTATGAGTTTCTCTGAATTCTGATTTCCAAATAATCATGTTTTCATGTGGGAATGAATTAAAACTTATATTGGGCTCCCATGTGATTTTGGAATTTCAATCTTGAATTCAATTCAAAAGCCTTGCTTTTCGTATTGCTATTCATTTTACTCCTGACAATACACAAGAACAATTCAAACGACCCAAATAAAATATGTTTGTTTATAAACACCAGAAGGTGAGAATCCAGTAAAAAAGAATGCAAATACACAGTTTTCAAAAATTATTGCAAAAACAAAAAGAATCCTTCACTTGTGCATATAGGATGACCTAAGTTTTTGAAGCAATAAAAAATGAACAAAAATCTCGTCTTATATGCGAGTAAATACGGTATGTAATTTTTATGAGAAATAATTTTAAATTTGTTTTATAACGTATATGAAAAATAATTTTAAACTGTAGACATATTTTGTTCTGAAAACAATTTTAAACTGAACTTGTAAATCATTTGTAAAAAACACATTTGATTTTGATGTAGCCATTTTCTTCTGTGTTGTATATCTGAAGATGTCTGTTATAAACGGATGAAAATGTTAGTAAATGTTTCTTCATTTTAAGTGTGCTGGTATAGGTATGTTGTGTATGAGTAAAGTTCATTAAAAACATTTTAACAATTTAATTTAATTACAAATAAATCTTTCTGAATATTAGAAAATACTTTTAATTACAATAGAGCATCGATTATCTGAATCAATTGGGGACTGGGGTTGTTTGGAAAATCAATTTTTTGGATAACTGATTATGTACAAAAAAATACANGCTTGTTTCGGTTAGACATTCTCTTGCCCTTTCCAATTCTTCTTGAAATCTCGATTGAACCTTTTCTACATAAGATTTTACATCGTTTTCCGATAAAAATTTGCAACTCTCCTCTCGATAAAACTGCTTAGACTGTTCCAAAAATGCATTTTCAAATTCTTCTTCGTATAAAACATTAGAATTTATTCCTAAAGAAACAAGCATACTGCAAACATTTTTAAGACTACTTCTGTCGATAGTTTTTCCTTTTCTTTCGGTCATGATCATTTGAAGAAGAATGCTACGAAGATTGTTAGATATACCTTCGTGTTTTATAATCTCTTCACGGAAAAGAATCAATCCTACATTATACACGCTTTCCAGTTTGTTTCTATCCACGTACGCTCGGTCTAAATACATAAAAATATCTCGAATCATGACCATTTCTGCTCGAAAATCATTCCATGATTCGATGAGAGTTGACAAAAAGTTGTTGGGAAGAGAATAAAGAATTTCTTTCCGCACTTCATATACTAAACGATTAGAGATGGAATCTTTTATATTTTTGTACAATTCTTTTCCGTAATCATTTCTGACCATTAAATAAGCGTATTGATATAACTCTTCAAATTTCAAGTGAGCGTTATTCTTCTTCTGAATGTCTCGGATTGCACTTTTCAGCAATGGCCATAAACTTTTTGCAGAATGTTTGCTATCCATTGAGAAATATTAATTTTCTGATATAATAAGCTTTAAAAATTTCCAATCTCTTGTTTAGAAATATTAATTTTGTTAATTATTAAATAAACAAAGGAAATATTTACAATATAACGTAATATGGTATTGTTATGTAATATTAATTTCTTTTCTTTACAATTTATAAAAATTTAAATGAAATCCAAACATAATGCTTGAGATGTAAAAATTTGCACCAAGTGAAAAATTTGGATGACAGTCAGATTTTTTTCTGAGGAAGTTTTCTTTGTTAAAGATAAGATTGGCACTTTGAAGGGAAATGAAAAAATATTAACACAGGCAAAAATCCTGTCCAAATGCCAAGCTTATCTTTATCAAAGAAAAACTCCTCAGAAAAAAATATGACTGTCATCCAAATTGTCATAAATTTTTACTTGGTGCAACTGTTTACATCTGAAGTATTTTTGTTTGGATTAAAACATTAATTTCTGTAAAGACAGCACAAAAAATAATAAATTCTAATTGTATTACATGTAATGAGATGTTGAATTATACAGAGGAAGATCAATAAATAAGATAACAAGTGGCTTTCTGAACATACATCTTTGTGAGGGTCGGACCGAATAAAATAAAATTAAATAAAGAAGCTCAAATTAAATTAAATATCTTTATTAAAGTTAAACAAAAGAAAAACTTCATTTTTCGAAATTTTACGAAAAAGGATATATACATTTCCTTCCCACGGAGCCGTTTCCTATCTCTCGGGAAACCGAAAAATGATTCATGAGGAACTTATCCTAAAAATCGCCGATTGGTGAAACCCAGTAACGTGACGAGAGGGATAAAAGAGGGGTGACGACGAGAAAAAGGGGTCCGTCGTCGCCGTCCGTGAACACGGTCCGTCACCACCGTTCGGGATCGCCGAAACCCGTGCCGATCCTCATCGCCGCCGTCCGTTCCTCAAGACAACTTGTCCGATCCGGTTAGAAAACGTCCGACCGTCCGATCCGAAATCGTAGAGGTATGATACCCATTAATGTACACTCTCTCTCGGCGCGTTTCCCTCCACTCCCGCGTGTCCGCTCGAGATAAGCTCAATGTATTTATGTTAGTTATGTTATCGT